CGCAAAGGGTTATTGAGTTAGTGACATGTGCCAGGCACTTCCTTGGGCACCTGGAGTTATGACAAGGAAAGTTCCTACCTACTCATGGAGCTCACACGCTAGTAAGAACACATAAGTAAGGTGGCTTCAGATCATGACAAGTGCCAGGAAGACAAATGAACAGGTGACGTAAGTGACAGGGCAGGGAACAGAAAGAAGAGGTCTTCGGAGGAGAAAGGGATGCCCATTTGCTAGTGAGCTGAAATTTGAGCTGAGATTCAAAGGGGGAGAAACAGTCAATCATGAGAACATGCATTATAAGCTATGGAAAGTGCAAGTGCAAAGGCCCTGAGGCAGAACCAAGTGAGTTCTATTTGAGGAAAACAAGGAAGCCAAGTGGCCCAAAGCTCAGACCAATGAGGGAAGTTGAAGAAATAGAGTCAAAGAGGCCTTTCCAATGCCCCCCACCTTGTGCACGGGAAGGAAGTGAAGCCCACGGGGCTAAATGAGCAGCCCAAAGTCACACAGCTAATTACTGCTACAGCTCATTCTTTTGCCCTCAGATTCAGAGATTTTTTTTTAAGCCATATTGATCTGCTTCTTTTAAACTGTGGGAACATTGTTTGCTAATATTGGTTTTCAAAAGCCCTTAACATACCTATAGCCCACAAGCCAATCCCAATTTTCCACAGAAACTCATCAAGTGATCCCAGCAATTTAAAATACATGTAAGTTTTGCTATGGAGGCTAAGAGCATCAACCTACTTTTGTGTATGAGCTACCCAAACATTAACTACTTGTTAAAGGCTTAGCTCTGCAAATAGGAGGATGGCCAAAGCTCATCAGAGAATAATCATTTTAACTTTAGTTCTTATTTTTGCACCTAAACATCTTGACAGTGTTTTGTTTCATTCACCCAGGAGCAATCAAAACCAATCTGTTCCCAATCCACCTTCAGGTAACACGGATATAAGCAAAACATCATTACAACTTCCTTCCACAATCTGTGAGTGTCTCCGCCTGAAGCTTCAAATCCGTGAATACCCAAATCCTACAGTCCGCTTCATGTGAACTGTCCCTCCGTTTTCTGGTATAAGGCTAGGTTCCTCTTTATCTTTGTCCTACTGGATGCACTTGGCTTGTGTGAATGCAAATCTCCAAACAACAACCAAAACTCTGGCCAGTGGCCAGTGACTGGGCCCACCTGAGGAAGTGGGAATGCCATCTGGCTGGAGGAGTCAGTAGAGAAAGGAACCTGTAGGAAAAACTGATTCACTGCCTGCCTGCCTCCCTCCTCATCGCCCTTCCCCTCCCTCTCCTACCCCTCTTCTTTTTCCTCCTCCCCCCACTTCTTCTCTTTCTCCTCAAATAAGTTCCCCCAGTCCCTGAGCTCTGGAAGCCTCATAAAGCAAGAGCCAGAAGTCCCAATAACTTAAGACATAGCCTTAAGAGTGTTTAAGAGCCCATCTTCTAGTCCAACCTCACCATCTAGCACCTGTATAACCTTGGGCAGCGACTCTCCCTCTGTCTCTCACTTCCTTCAGCTGTAAAATAAGGACAGTATCTTCCTCCTAAGATTAAATAAAGATTAAATTAAATGTATAATTAAATAATCAATTGATTAATAATTTATGTATATGAGGCATAGACCACTATACAGTGTCTGGCACATAGTTCTATATGGGCATGAGGTATGTCACCCTTGCTCCCCGCTCTCCTGCCGCCACCCTCTTGCTAGGAAAGACTATCATCACCCACACCTTCAGGAACAATTGCACATGAAGGCACAGCACCTTACTGGAAGGCAGCTCAGTGGTGTCCTGATGGCAGTCAAGAGTCAAGTAGGGACAATAACCCTTGTACCATCAGATTTGTATAATGAGAATGATTGTATGAAATAATGTACATAAAACATCTGGCACGCAATGATGGCTCAGCAAATGTTGTCATTTTTATTAGTATCTTTTCATTTCTAGCACCAATGGTTGCGACTGTAGATGTTCCTCACATGCTCCTTCATGGTGTCAGGCTATAACATGTGGATTCATCTGCGTCTATCAGTGTGACATAAATATATACAGAATGATGGGCATAGAGAAACATATTTTTAAAAGCCAAGGCAAGCTTCAGAAAGGCATCCCCACAGCCCGCCCTATCAGAGTTCCTTGAAGATCCCAACCTGGCTCTTTAGACAACTGCCCACTCGACACACCTCTTGGCTGCCATGGGGACATCTTCCATTCCTTCCATTCCGCAAGTTCTGGGCTGAATGAACTCACGTGCCTTCCCTTAAGACTGGTCTGCCCTGGATGCTGTCCCAGTCATCCCAATTCCTCCCCTGCCACAAATGCTTCGCTCAAGGCCTGTAAACTCTGTGTCCCCCATAGCTCCCTCCTCCATCCACTTCTCCATTCCTGGTCCACATAACCATGGTATTGGGCTCTTCACATCCACAAGAGCCACGCAGCACCTGCTTTGAAACTCAGTTCAGATCCTGTTACTCCTCAGCTTGAAACCCTTCCACGGCTTAAGATAAACACTATAGATGGTCCTCCTGCCTGCCACAATCACACCCTACCTGCAAGAACATGAGGCTGGGGGGTCTGACCCCATAAATCCCCTAGCCACACCTAAAATACACACTCCCTTCCTTTCTGCTCAAAGCCATAGAAACTTCCTTTCATTTCATCAGATACACATGCTTCTTGTGCCTCAGGGCTTTTGCACTTGCTGTTCCATCTTCTGCAACAGTTCTCATTGTTCAGTAAATCCCTACATGGCCTCTAGGTCTCAGCTCAAGTGTTTGACTGCCTCCCCTGATCATCCTCCTCCCCTGGTCCTTGTCAACCTCTTCTGATACTTTCTTAAAATGCTGCTGCTCTCCCTCATGGACATACATAAACTTGTAATTATGCGCAGAGGTGCAGTGGTTGGTTTAGGTCTGTCTTCCTCACCATGAACTCTAAGAAGGCATTTAGCTTTTAGCTGTGCTATTTTTAACTGCATCCCCAGTACCCAGGACAGTGGTTGGTATGTAGTAGGTATTCAATAAGTATGTTTTGCAGGGAATGTTTTTAAAGCCAAGGCACATTTCCACATTTCCAGAGATCTAGAAACAAAAGAGAAGGTGAGGGTTGTATTTAAGGTGTAACATCCTCACGGTTGAAAATAGGCAATAACTCTACTTTTTTTGTCAATTGCTAGTCAATTCATAAAACATTTACTTAACAAATGAGTGGGTTTCCTCTTTTCCAGTCTGGAGAAAAGGGGGAGAAATGCAACACAAAACACACACGTCAAAAAAAAAAGAAAAATTTCAACCCCAACACGCACAGAGGTGTGTCCTAGCCAGAATCAGCCTTCAGACAAGAGAAATGCTGAAAAGCATTCTTGTCAAAACTAGGCACTAGCCTTAAACTTAATCTGCTCCCATAGAATCTCAGGGGGAACCTTAGCATCATTATGCTAATTACAGGCACACAGATCTGACTTAGTGGCTGGTGTCAAGGAAACACTGTCCATTCTTAAGAGCTTGTAAATGACACTACTGCTTGGGCTGCCCCCTCTCCAGCCCTTTCCAGCCCCACCCTGTTCACACACCACTCCCCCCTCCTCCTTCTCCTGAGATCAGAGCCCATCTAGCTGCCTGGTTTGGTAATAAGACTGAGTAAGAAGACTCGGAAGGCCCCGTGGGCTCCATTATCACACACACCAGACAAGAAGGGACACCTCCAGGGATGGCTGCTGCAAATCTGAGCCTCACTTGGCTGCCAGGAAACATTTCCCACTGAGGATACCCTGGGCAGGAGGAGCAGCCCCAGGTTCAGGGAAGGCACCCCACCCATCTGCCCAAGAGACAAAGATCACTAGAAACAAAGGACACACACACATACACAGTGTTGCACAGGCAAAGTCAAAAGCAAATACTGACACTTGGTGCAACTGCAAGCCAAACAGCCAGCCAGCTTGGTGTCTCTTTAAATAGATGTTGAAACAATCCAGGAGGGACAATGACTATATGATAATGACAGGCACTCTCCGGGTTTGGAACCCACGCTGCCTCCGCCCTCCTCCCAGGCGATTTTTTTCTGCCTCAGGACACACGCTGCCAGGAGCAAGAGTGCTTCCACTCAGGAAAGCGAGCGCGCGCGGGAGGTGGAGGCAGGGCGCGGGCGGCCAGACGTGGGAAATACCAACCTTTAGGATCCCAGTTCACCTGTTTTCTTGGAGTCTCGATTGGAAATTTCATTGCTCCGTTGTCCAGATGGGGAGGAAATGAAAAGAATCAAAATAAAGTCCTCAAGCTTTACGCGCCTCGTTACGGCGGTCCAACAAAACAATTTCCGAGGATGGGGGAGCCCTGGACCGGCTCGCGGAGGAGCCTCAGAGAAAGGCAAGTGGAAAATACTGGCTTGGGAGCGACCTGGAGACGACTTGGGTGTCAGCACCGGTTGAAGGGTGGCCCGCAGCAGCCCCCGGGGTAAGAGGAAAAGTGAGGTCCACGAGGGGAGGTGCAGAGGGAGGTTCGGGAAGAAGAAAGAGCCAAGGTTCCCAAATGCGGTGCCAGCAGGTTGGGGGCTGAGCAGCCGGAGGGCCTGCCTGCGTGAGGGAGAAGCCCACTGCAGTGTCACTCCAACCCCGGAAGGCGTGCGTGCACACACTCCTGCACACACACACACACTCACACACACTCGCCCGGGCACGGGCACGCGCTCCGGCGGGCGCGTCAGCCGGGCTCTACCGCGCAGAGAGCACACGCCCCACCCCAGCGGTGGCTCCTCGCCCGCGGGCAACGCCCCCCACTCTCCACCCCCGAAAGCCATTGGACGTAGGGGTGGCGCGGCACTCGGGGCGCGCGCAGCCAGGGCGACCCTCCCTGCTTGGCGCCGCAAGTCAGGAGAGCTCGAGCGGCTGAGATGCTTGGCCAGGGCTGTGCCCGCAGTAGTGCGGCGACGGGCGGGAAGCAGCACCGGGGAGCCACGGTGGGGCGGGGCGTGGGCGACGGGCGCTCGGCTACTTACTGGCTCCGCGGGCGGGCGTGAAGGCAGCCGGCGCACTCTGTGGAGTTGCAGCCGGAGACACGCTTGGCTGCCTGGAAGGCGCTGCAGGAGGCGGAGGAAGAGCCGCCGTGGCCCTGCCGCAGACCTCTGCCTCGGGTCACTTCTTGTTACCGTTCCCACCCTGGGCGTATCCCCCTTCTTTTCTCATTTCATATTCTCACTCCAGTCTCCTCCTGCGTCAGGTTCTCCCGCCTGCGCTCCGAACCTCTGTCTCCAGCGCACTCCGGAGAGACCGTGCCAGCCATGAGCCTTTTGTTCTGGGATCCTTCAGTATCATCCTTGCTCTCCCCGCCCGGGGAAGCTCACTCCCCAGGCACAGCCTAGTCCCTTCCCCAGCTACCAGCAGCCCAGCCGAGGCCGCTGTTCGGAGACCGGGGAGGAGGCTTGGCGAGAGACCTGGCCCCAGAGGAAAGCAGAGTTGCCAAGACCTGGCTCCAGGAAGCAGCGGCCCCAGGAGTCCGGGAGTCCGGGAGTCCAAGGGCCCAGCAGGTACAGCTGCGAAGGGCCTCTAGACTTTTGGAGAGAGGCTAACCCTGGCACATTCTCCCTCCCCGCACTCTCACTGCCCCCACGTGAAGCTCCGCAGGGCTTGCCGTGGGACCTCAGTCTCCAGAACCTAGTGGGCTGAGATGGTCCCGAATTGGGCCACTGGAAGTACCAATGTGAACAATGTTTAGAATTTACTTTGGGTGCCTAACAACGGAGGCTTGCATGTAGGACATGCTCAGGAAATAGCTGCTAAATGAAGGCATGAATGGCATAAAGCTTGCTGGAGAGGAAGTAGCTTGATTTGCTGTCTGTTCCACACGTATCCTGAGCCCCTTCTATGCACCATCACCGCACTAGGTGCTGGCGATATGGCAAAGAACAAGCCAGGGACAGACCTTGCCTTCACGAAGCTTACTGTCTACTGCCATGAGGAGGGGTGAGTTGTGACTGCCTTCACTCAGGAAAGGGAAGTGACTGCCCAGCTCATTCCTGAGCCTGCTTGCTCTGGCTGTACTCCCCCACGCTGGGAGCTGTTCTCTGAACTGCATGCCACAGCAGGCCCTCGAAGTTGCTAAGGAGCCCTGTGTTGGCAGCATCTTTCTCATCATCTGTTTCCCACTGTCACCTCCAGCTTCTACAGTTCCAGGGCGAGATCCACAGAGGTCCCCTGGCATCTCTGGGGAGGGTTGGTAAGTGCTTTGTCACTGACCCTACAGGCTGCCAGGCTGCATCGCAGAGTCCTCTGTAGACCCTGTTCAGAAAAACCTGGTGCCAATCTGACAGTGCCACCTGGGTCCTCAGCCCTTTGGGCAGGCTCAGGTTCCCCCAGGCACTTCAGCAACACTTTCTCTGGGACTCTGTTTCCACACTTTGCTTTTCTCTACTAGAAGGCTGAAGGGATGGATGAGACGTGGAAATGAGACAAGCGAGGAGGTTCTGCTTCTCCAGCCATACCACCAACGGCATCTAAATGTGTGCAAATTTTGCTCCAAAACCCCAAGGGAATGAACTGCTTGTGTGTTCCTGAAAAAGCCTCCAGAGCCCCACGCTGCCCTCTCCTTAATCGCTCACAGTCAGGAGGGCTCCAGCCAGTCACTGCAATGCCACGTTTTCACCTGCATCCGAGCCAGAGGTGTCCACAGAAAAAGATACCCTCTCTCCTGAATCCTCTGAGGGTGGGGATGTGAGCCTGGCATTTATCAAATGCACCCCTCACCTTCCCATATGCTTCTCTCCTCTTCCCTGCATCTTTTCTCTGAGGAAGCCTTAACTGGTCCCATTTTACAGGTGAGAAGACCAAAGCTCAGAGAGATAGAGGAACATGCCCAAGGTCACGACGCAGAAATTCAGACCCAAGTGAGCGTATCTGGTCCCTGACCCGTGAATCTGCCCCTGAAACTCTCTCGTGGGTTCTTTCGGGTAATGAAGATCTAAATACTGTATCATCTATGACTCCCTGGCAAAACGAGTCGGACTAACCGTGGGCCCTGGGGTCCACATCACGGCATTAGTTCACAGTCCTAGGCAGGTCCCAGAGGCACGAAATACAGCGTTAAGGCGCATCACTCAGCCAACCAATAAATATTTACTGAGTGTCCCCTGTGTGCCAGACAGTTTGCAGTTTTCCTTAAAAGTTATATGGGGAGGGGACCTGGAGAACCTTCTCCAGAAAAGCACCAGCAGGACGACGACTGAGAGGCTGGGGAAGTTTGGGATGCATCCAAGGGGAGAGAGGGAGCGAAAATCAGGCTGTGGAGTCCTCTTGCGGGTCTCAGACGTGCGCTAGTCATTGACCCTGAACATCTTCTGTCTGCTAGGTGCCTCTCCCCACCCCTCACCCACCAACACCCACAATTTCTGGGGCTTTTTCTCACTTCCACTTTTATTCTGCTTTCTCGGAATGTAGACAAAGACAAGTTTGCAGGGTTAATCCACCAAAATCATCAAGCAAGCAATCAGTCCCAGCACCCCCTCCCCTAACTGGGCTAAATCGAATCCAACTCCTACACTGTGCAGTATTTGGAATGAACTGCTGGGAGTAGTGGGGTATAAAGGAGAAGCCCCCTTCCCCCCCCCACAAGTAAAACAACTTAGCACATTAACTCTTCCTGCTACTGCCGTCCCCTGCCATCAGCTGCTATTCTACGTGCCTTCGTTATTCCAACCTAGATGCCACTTACCCCAAGAAAGAGGGAAGAAGTGGTCCGTGTAGGAAAAACACACCCAGAAAAGATGCCGTGCCAAGCGGTCCTCTCTTTCCCTGCGCCGCCCCAAGTTCCATGGCTATAGCTGCGGGCGGGTTAAGTCTGGTGGCAACAGAGCGCCTCGGGTTTCTGCAGCAGGAAAACAAAGCAGCGTGGCGCAACGTCGCCCTGCACTGGCGGAGCCCGGCCAGCAGCTCGGGGCCCGCCGTGGCGTCCCCGCGCACTCGGTGGGACGCAGGGCCTTGCTGGGGAGGCGTGGCTGTGGGTCTCGGGATCTCTTCAGCTCAGAACCTGGCACCCCTTGCCGCGCTTTCGTGAAAGCCGTGGCCCAGGGCTGGGGAGGGCTGGGGTTGCCCACATATCGCAGACATCTCCCGCGAGGAAGTTTCCCTCGAGTTTGTTCCTTTACCCTCTCCCCACGCCGCAGCCCCGGGGTGGGTGTGAGAGCAGAGAGGTGCTGACTGCCTTGTGGGGGGTCTCGGAGCGACAGTCAACGCAGGACTCGACCAGAGGACTGCTGAACACGGATTCGGGGTGCCCGGGTGGGGTGCGGCGGGAGAGAATGCAGACGGGGAAGCTCAGGGGCAGCAGCAGCAGCTTGCAGAATCCTGCCCGGTGCTGGTTCGGCAAAACGCGGGGGGAGGAGGAGGACAGCAGAGCTCCTCAGAATGTACTTTAATCCACGAATATCAGGATGAAGTCGTTCATCTGCCTGGGGTAGTTTTCCTCTGGTCTCATCATTCTTCTGAGGTCCAGAAGAAATCCCAATCTTCCAGGATCGCCCCCAGTCTCAAGACACCTCCAAGCCCTCTTCCCAACCACGCATTTTGTGAAGAGAACCCCATACACTCCCCGGGTATACCCCCCACTCAGCGGTAAAACCGACAGGGTCGTTACGAACTGAAGTTGACTTGAAAACTTCTCCGACCAGAAATGTTTTCTTTCCCCAAGGAAGCTTCCACTCCGCATTCAAGCGATCCTACCTTTGCCTCCGTGTCCCAATCGGCACCTGTATAACCACACCCTTAAATATATGTTGCTCTAATCTCGGGCTCTGCTTTTGGCTGGGAAAAGCGGGAGGCAGCAGCTATGGGGCAGAGGGTGTCAGGTTCATAGTTCTCAAGGACAAACTCCCGGCTCTAAATCCTGCAGCTTTATTTGGGTGACTCAAACCTCTGACTGGGGGTTAATGAAGACGACATACGACTATGAACTCCAAAGAACTTGTAATTAAAGCCTTAGGTGGATGAACATGTTTCATAACCAGGAACCGTATCCTCTCTCTCTGTGTGTTTCTTTGTTTTAAATTGTAGCCCTTAAGAAATGTCATTGAAGTGCCCGTAAAGCACTGTGCCAACCATTTTAACCAAAATGTACGGAGCTTCTTATAAAACAAGTTTTTTATTTGATTTTAGAGAGAGCGAGAGAGAAGGGAGAGGGGAAACATCCACTTGTTGCTCCACTCGTTTATACACTGACTGGTTGATCCTTGCCTGAGCCTTGACCGTAACTTTCAAACGTGGGGATGACGCTCTAACCAAGTGAGCTACCTGGGCAGGGCTCTATAGAGCAAGTTTCAACCTAGTTCTCTCTGAGTTATTACCATAATATATTCCCAGGTAAATTTTTTGAGAGCTGGATCTTGAATTGTTTTGGTTTTACCCTCAATTTTTTACTTTTTTATTTTGAAATTGTTCAAACATACAAAGAATTTAGTAAAAAAAAAAGTTTCCAATTAAAGATTGTACTTGTTCCATATATTTTGTGCATTTCATTCTAGAAAACTTCCTCCATCTTTTTTTAATGACATTGATTTTTTTTTTAAGAGTCCAAAATCCTTTGCTTCCTGGTAGTTTTAGATGTCATGCTGTAGCTAAAGATGAGTTGAGTCAAAGGGGGAAGGGGTAGATTTCTTGACCATAGCAGGTCATTAACATAATTCAATACCTTCTGTAAATTGTGTCCATACCAATATCCATGAATTAGAAGGCAGTTAGTTATATTCCTGCTCACTCAAGCTTCTCCCCAGACGAAGGTAGGAGTGCTTAAATGCTGAGAACAAAGCGGAAGCTTCACTGGGGAAATAAAATGTTTCTGGTTCGAGAAGTTTTTAAGTCAAAGTACTTATCTTTGTTTCTTATGTTTCAAACGGCTGTGTTTCAGGGACGGATGAGCGTTTTCACACATACACATCAAGTTGACAGGCACATATGGTATTTGACTGAATTTAAAAACAAGAATTCAGCAGGTTACACACCATAATAAATGAGTTCTGATTGTCATGTCATTCTAGGAAGGTTTTAATGTGAAC